CATCGGCTTATATACCGTCCTATTTCAATAATTTCAAGCCTTAGACAAAATATATGAAACATATAAAAATGTGATTCATTAGATAGCAATTTGAAGTGTTTTGATGTCCCATCGAATTTCCTGTAGAATTTCCTCATAATTCTGCAGAATGCAGAAAACTCCCAAGGGGAGGGACGAGTGGACACTATGTTCTCTTTTTGAAGGCCTCAATTGGGTCCTGAAAGAGTTTAGAATTGATAAAATCGCTAAAAGAGTAAGCAGGAAAAATAAGAGATTTCAAAGTTAGCAGCGAAGAAAAGAAGTTGGATACAACTGAAAAACTCGTCATTAAAAGTGACGTCAAATATGTAGTGGAAATTTTCGAAACTTGCATCTGCCTTTTTGGTTAATCACGGTCTCCTTATTGAAGAGAATTCCATCATTGACGTATTCTAGTTGTCCACTAACGGTAAATACCGTTAGGCTTCCCGGGCAACTTAGTGTGCAGTTCTCATTGACGGTTGACGTGTCGAAGTTGAATATTAGTTTGTTGATATGACCTGTTTTTGTACAGACTGCTATCTGCTTGTGATGACCGCAATTGATTTCTGCAGTGACTTGTCCTTCCTGGGAATGGCATGCCAGCTCGATTTTCGCTCCGCTGAGACATTTGTAGCAGCCTGTGAGCTCCGAAACGATGACTGTACACGTGGTGTTTTGCTCTTCGTCTCGTTACTTTCAGTCCTTCGGCGACAAATGTACTTGCATAATTGTTCCTACGCCCATTTCGCTTTCAACGATTTTCCTTCTTGGTAGATCATGACATTCTTAGTCGTGACAGGAAGTGGTGCCTTTTTAATGTTTTCTACCAGATTTGGGCTGCTGCATGTGCAAGTAGCTCTGTTGACAGCTGTAGTGCAAGTGCAGACGTTGCTTGGAAATGAGCAGTTGAATATTGTAGCAGCGTGTTTATCAAAACACTGCAACTGTCCGACAGTGTGAGGGATGAGGTGGCCTGAGGAAACCTTTTTCGTGATTCCTGTAGTAATTCCATCTGTGATGAAGGTCGAAGAAAAGAATCGGTAGTTGTGGTACTGTTGTTCCGATTAGGCAATCGAAGGAATAGAGAATTCCATCTTACAGTTCGTGCCTGAGATGGAGGTTCAAGGTGCGGTGTAACTGCAATTTCTGCTATTTCTGAGTTTGAATGTGTGATTTGAATTTGCGGACGAAGCAAGGTCCCAATGAAGTGGGCCAGTTGCAAACTTCGACAGTAGACACCGGGCAGATTCGAGGAAAGGTAATATCTGTAGAATAAGCAGCTTGACATGCAGAGAAAGCAGCCACCACAAGTAAGACATCCGCAGCTCGCTGCGCAAAATGTGAACCCTGGGTGATCGTTTGCTGTTCTTGAGAATTCTTCTATTCGATTCGTTGTTTTTGTGTTGTCGCATGTGTCCATTCTACAACTGCCAGCAAATTTGCACCGACCATGTAACGATTCAGAGTAGGAAGTAGAAGATGCGTCACGCTGTAAGAAACTCTGTCTTTTTTGACACCGCATGGTGTAGTTAGAGGTCTTTTATGCCTGATTGCGTAAGAGGCGCTACTGATTTTGTCGTTGTTGTCTGTTGATCAGACATGTTTCCTGATCAAGAGGTTGGAGAGTCATGATTGTAGCCTGGTTGTACGTGCATGTCTGATTTGTTTCGGAACTGACGCACATCTCTTCCGAAGCGGTGAATGAGATGAAATCTGAGCATGGTGTACTTGACTGCAATCCGAAGATGATGATTGCGATCAAAAGTTTCCGTCGATAGCCCGTATATTGTCGGAATCCTGATGGTCTTTGTTTCTGTCGTGGTCGGACAGGGGCGAAGTCGTCTGACAGCAAATCTGCACATGCGAAACATGATGTCGACTAAGAGGGCAAAGAGGTGTAACAAGGGTGAGAGTAAGGTAAGTCCGATGAAGGCGATGATAGTGATAAGTCCTGCTATGACTAATTGAATTTTCGTCCAGCAGTGAAGATTGTAGATGGATTCCCAGCAAACTGTACACTGTATCATTTCGCAGATAGCTTGAGCTTGACAGAAGAGCTGTTGACGGTGAATGAGTTTTCCCTTTGACCATGCTGAGATATGTACTTCGTAATCGAATGCAATGAGAGCAGTAGGGAACATGGCTGGCGAATTTGTTGAATTCGTGATAAAGAGGCAATAATTTGCAATGCATGCTTCCAGTGCATCCATAGGTACGGTTGACGTTATTTGTGCTCCTCGGGTTGACACAGAGCTGCGGGGGATCGAGCTATCAGTTTCAGAACGGGTCATTGTGCAAGATGCTGCGTAGTTATTCTTTGGTTTGTTATCCCCATGCGCGTGACTCGATGAAGTATCCTGTGGAAGTTGTGAATTTATGGCGTAAAGCGTGCCCGCCGAACAGTACAAAACAAAGGAGCATTATCGCTACATTCCTTTTTGTTGCAGAAAGTAGGATGTTCCGGTGTAAGGAGGTCTTGGATGTTGCCGTAATCCTTGGGAATCAAAAACATATGAAATCTTCAGCATCAAGATATTCTTTGATGGCGATGTGTAATTCTGGAACGCGAGTAAACGTTCCGTCTAGAGAGCCTCACGTTGTGTTTGAAAACTACGATTTTTCCTTTGGGATTTACTATCCGATTGGGTGAAGGTGTAAAGATAGAGCCACCTTGTCCGGGAAATAGGAGTGAGATGTCGAACGGGAACGGTGGAAAAGAGTGGGGAAGAGAGTTCATTTTCAACAGTTGGGGTAAGGAGCATGGAGTTGGCATTGAAGGATGCTACAGCCGGGCCACAGAAGGGGCTTGATTCGGAAGCAATGAGAATCGCACTCGAATGTTGGGTTGGTAGGGACATAGAATGGGAGGCCAGATGTGGGCGCGGTGGTGCGCTTGAGTTGATATGTAGCAATTGCTAACTCTTGATTTACACAGGGTCTGCATAATATCTTCTTTGGAATGTTGAGCTCGGACGGACACCTTGTGGATGCGTTCGTCGTTGAACATAATGTGACGACAATCGCTAGAGAGAGGAGTGTTCCAGCATTTTTAGCGAGCGTCTTCGATCTTGTCATCATTGGGTGTCCAGTTCACGCGTGGGTGGGGACGTTGACACAGTGTTCTCGAGCGACAGGGTTAAGTCTGGAAGGCTTAGTGCGTAGGTGCGTAGGTTTGTGATATTCTCGTGTGTGCTCACTCAGCAAATTTCACATTCTGTTGTAGACATAGGAACGTCAAGGGGCTAATGGTCTCTGAATGTTTCGTGATGAACTTCAAGAAACACATTTACTCCACAGAGAGCAGAACTCTTGACTAGTCTTAGATTTTTCATTGCTCTTACATAATTTCATAATTCAATGGTTATCGATGTTTATTTGATGAGCGGCTCCACACGTCCTGAATGAAATTGGATTTTTAGCCTTAAACGTCGCCGATTGAATTTCCTCCTAAGTCTGCTGAATCCGAAAGATGCATCGCCACACCATCATCCTACAATAGTGTGCAGTACGTGTAAGGGTAGTTCTCGTAGATGTTTAGCAGTTACATGAATTGAATGAGCTGTGAATATTTATTGCATTCAGAGAGAAGATGCTGAAATTGGCTATAGATACGGCAACATCGCCACAAGAAGAGTCGCGCATTCTGTTACAAGATTGAGAATCCCACAAACGGAAAACTTTGTCAGATAAGCACCGAAAACAATAGTGCTGATGAATGGTGAGAGCTTCGGTGTGGGCCGCTAACGAAGCACATATGGAGACTGATAAGAAATCCTTTGATAATTATCATGAATGTGTCCGCTGCGGCTCAGTAATGAGTTGAATCTGACTAGCGGCGACCTCTTCCTCTCCTTTGCTCTGAGCCTATATGGGAGTAAAAACTCAAGCAAAATGCCAACAAGGATGTAATTTCAGAGAGAGAGAGAGAGCTGTCGTCATCACTGTGTATTACGAGTAAGATCACTAGCAAAACGTTGTGGACTGCTTATAGATTGAACTCGGTGGAAGTGTGATGAAGAGCCCATTGGTTGGGGTTAGAACTCTGGTCAGACAAGGACTGGCCACGTACCTCCATTTGGGATGCGATATATATTATTGAATGTGGCCGAGTATGATGAGAAATTCCAAAAAATGTCATGCTGGCAAGAGTCGATTTCCAGAAGGTCCGTTTGAAGGAAACCAGCTGAGTGCGTACTTGGCTAACCTTTTTTTTTAATTTCTCAGAATGTTTGATAAGAGAAATGACACTGTACAATGCAATGCTGCCACTTGTTCGTTGAAAATGGGGAACAAATAGGTTTGCTTCACTACTGCCAACCTTCTGCTTCAATGCCGATTTCTTTGACTTCGATAAATTTACTAGCTAAATAATTTGGGAAAGCAACGGTGAAACGGTCCAACATCCATATGCCAAGCTGATAATTCACTCAATAAGCTCTAATATAATAAATGCTCAAATTGCTAATTCCGACTTCAGGGTCGAGAAACGCTGTCTAATCGGCGGTACCTGTCTGGAAACATGACCGTAAACTGCTCACTACTACTCTGCACAGGGTGAGGAGTTAATATGGAGGCAAGATAACTGTGACATCGATCAATTCAGAACGATCGAAACACATATCAACTACATATAGTTAACAACGTATGGTCATATTAAACAATTTTTAAAATTCAATTTTTAAAATGGCCACCCAGAATTCTGGAAGAAATCAAAATTCGCCGGATGTCTGACATATCATCTGTTATACCACTACCTTCACTCATGACTCCGGAATCTGATACTTCGTATTGGGTTTTCTGTTAACATGAGATTTCTCAATGCAGTGAGAGTATAATGCATTGCAGGTGCGCATAGGAGGCATACTTGCTCAATTTCTCCGCGCAGTTTGGATATCAGTAAGACACGCTTGAAAGATTTAACGTTGGAAAAGTTTTTGTGCAAACTGTATTGCATGTAGAAATGCTAGTACATTGTCGTCCCTCCTCTATTTGTTCTTTATACACAATAGCTTCAAGTGGACATGACCTCTACAGGCACTATTC